AAGTGCGGGAGATGGGAGGGGGGACATGTGGAGAGCGTGAATTACGCCACGACAGCGTCCAACCTACTTATAGGGTTTTATCACCTGCTGATATCCCCCAGGTGCACACAGGGCAAGAAAATGGCCCTACGACCGCATTTGTTAACCCAAGCAGGGGAAGCTATGTCGGGAGAGGCGTGAGGAGGCTTGTCTGTTCGCGGTTAGTTAAAATGTCTGTTTTCCCTTACCCTGCACCGAACACGTCTACAAACGTATTTAGGGGGCAGGGAGGGAGGATGCAAGGGATCGCACAACCGAAAACCAATGTGTCGTGGTCACATGGAGAAGCTGAGTGCGGTACGAAATCATGTAGGAGTCCGGAATAGTTCAGATTAATGTTTAGATAAAAAAACACTAGTCACTGAGGCTTGATCGGTTCCTGTGGTATGATGACCGGGACATACATATATGATCTTTTCGCTAATAGCTATTCTCAGGGGTACTTGAAAAAAAGGCAGGAGTTTCCTTGGTAGTGCACATATTTTCTTGTTTATATTTAAATGCCTACACAATTTACACAATTTCTGTTAGGGTTAGGGTAAGGGTTAGGTTGGGATAGTGATATCGCATGTAAAAAGCCCTAGGTTTCTGTCTTAGGGGGAGCGTTAGAGTAGGCATTTAAACATAAATAAAAACATATGTGCACTACCAAGGAAACTCCTGCCGAAAAAAAACGTCATATGCGTGCGAGTCCAGGAACCTACTGGTAGTTTTGGATGGGTGAGTATTAAATAAAGACTCCGCTGCATGGGATAGTACTCAAGTCAACCGAAAGATCTGCAGTAAACCCGGCAATACCCGTTTCGAAATCCATAACATTATTAAACATAAAGGGCGCGCGTTAGTTTTGGTGTCGACTAAAATTAATGAAGTACAGGGTACCCGATAGTGGGGGACATGATCGCCATAAGTTCACATCTGACCGTGTTCCGAGGAACCACTTAACAACTTTGGTATAAACTGATGTAAGAATAAGGAATGAATGTCAGCTTATGAAGAAGCAAGCTGCCTTATGACCTCTGAATAATTCGATGCTTTAACCTTGGAGGGTAGGGGTTATGCATTAACATGAAAAATCGAACTTACTTAATACTATCCTCTAGACCTCCCTACTGCATTTTCGTGGTCTTACCATTACTCCTCCCCCGATCGGATCGAATTTGCGTTTGATACAGCTTCGCAAATGTAGGTTGTGCACATATTTTAGGAGTTACTGGTGGTGATACAAAACCATGCCTGTATGTGTGTTTTTACTGATATGTGACAAGTATCCGGGCCAATGGAGGTGAGGATGCGGTAGATGCAGCGCAAGTCCCCGTTCCTTCGCCCACCCTGCTGAAGAGCACTCGGTAAAGACGGTCGAACTGTCGTGCCATGCATTCCACAGTAAAATTCTTTTCATAATTTTAAGGCCTCTAATTGTGGCAATCTCAGCTTCGAATTCCAACTTACTTACGTAATTAATTAGGTTTTGGCAGATTTGCAAAATTTAGTTGACCCAATTGTGAAAAAAACTCGCGGCGTTTGGTGAGATTGGAACCCGCAGAGCAGGGAAGGCATTTACGCAGCCAGTGCTTTACCACTTGAGCTACAAAGGCTACGCCATGCACTGTGAATTTAATCATACTTGGATCGATGTTATCCGCCCAACTTTACCGCTCTTTATCTAGTCGATTCCGCTTATCTAACCAGATGTTCGAACCCCTGGAAGAGAAGGACTGTTCATCAGCCAGCTATGGTCTATCCAACAGATCTACAAACGGCCAAAAGCCCGGACATATGTTTTGCCCATCTTCTGCCGCTGTATCAGCGGACCCCCAGTCCTCCCATGGTAAATAATTACACAATTTATACTACTGATTGCTTGTCGGCAGCAGCTGATGGAGTTCGGCCCAAATACTAATAGCACTTCTTAGTCTACAGCTGCGGACCCTTGAATATACTGAGGAAAGTTAAAAGTTACAAGTTGAAAACTGAAACCCCAGAAAGGAGACTTGGGAACGGTTGGATGAGCCGAGCTCCCTCGCAGCTGTGCCCTGCAGCGGCAGAATGCGGGCGAAGCACGTGTCTGGGCTCCAAGCTAGTACCTGTTCTCCCAATATAATAAGTAGTTAGACAGCCCAAGAAATAGCTACTAAAAGA